CGGGATCGGGAAATAACTTTTGGCGGCAAGGACTTATGTAGGGTTTCAGCGCCAGACGACCTCGAAATGTGTCCCATCATGATCGCGTCTGCAGCGATGTTAATTCGACACATTATTATGACATGTATATAAGAATTTTATAATGCAGTGAGGATTCCTTATGTCGTACAAAAAAAAAAATAATAATAATAATATTTAAAGTGCACACGAATCGCGTTCGTGTTTATCGGTCGAGGTCTAAAAGACGTATTGTTGTTTATCGATGTTTATCGCGTCAAACAATATGTAATAATATTATGTGTAGCCATGTTGGTATAACTATGCACAGATACCTGCAGCTACATGGCGGCGTATTCACGTATTTATAAGCCCTGCGATCTCTAATGTTATTCCAATAATGCGTGTTACACTTACACTATCCTAGTACATGACGAAAACTTTACTGTATGTATCGTGAACAGTTTGTTGCGGTAACTTAGGCGAGACGAAAACCGTGTTGAAAGTTTTGATCACAGCGTGTGCAGCTGCAGTAGACATGTGGTAGGGGCGCAACAATATAATACATGGCTTGCGTTATATATATATATATAATATATATATAATAGTCACTTTTATACGTTTTATTGGAACATATTTCATTCATGTCGAGTGCTATTTATTTTTTCTAGTTTAACTTTTCACTTAATCATTGCACAGCAATTATCCGCCATTATTCATGAGAGTAATAGTTTTACGATGATATACTCGTAAACTTAATTTTGAGAAAAATGTATTCACTTTTTGATATGGTACCGTAAAATTTACGCGGTAAAAATAATAATATTATCACGCTATTTTTTTTTCTTCATCATAATTAAATTTTTGTTTTATAGTATATTATTATATTTTTGTCATCGTTGTCTTAATAATAATAATATAATCATTATTATTATTCAATCGTAGTAGTCGTTGTTACTCGAGCAGTCTGGACTGGTGCCTATAATATTTTATAATATTATATTGTATTATATTTAAGACGGTGGGTGCAGCTATATTGAGGGTTGGGTGGGCAGTGGATGGCAAACGACTGACCGTTGATTACATATTAGTATACTTAACCTTGGGGTGATGCGTGCGGTGTGTCTGGCCCCGGCTTCTCTATTGCTGCCGCCACAACTGACTACCCGTTCGGCCGGTGCGCCTCATAATAATAAGTGTCTGTCTACCAGATAGTATGTATAGCTGCGAACGAGCGTATATCATGATATCTAAATATAATATAAATTATAAAATTAAAATAATACTAATTTATTATGTTCTCTCTGTAATTTGTAAGTACCTAATACACTGTGTACACGCATGACTAATTACGCGTCTTGTCGTCGGGTGCATCTGATACGTCTGATACGTTGTCGTCGATGAGCTCGGCGTGCATAATAATACCACACGTACATTCGAGTGATCCGTTCAAATTGCTATACTCACTTTCTTGGTAACTTATTATATATAGATAAGCAAACGCGATCAACCTCCATATTATTATTAAATTATATTGTTTGATATAAATATATAATTATACGTATTAAATATTGTAGCGGAAACGATCAGTGATCGAATACGTCCAATGGTGATCGTAGATTAATTGTCTTGATAATATTATATTCGTGATCGTTTTCTTCTTATTTATTAAATAAATATTCAAGCAACACGAACAAATATAATAAATTATATTGCAAGTATAAAATAATATACTAATAATATTATAACAAAAATAATAATGTACAATATATTTTAATATGTTTGAAGTGCATGTGTACCGAAAGACACTCGCGAAAAGGATACGGAATACAAACACATAAATATTCATTTGTCGACAACACACACTCGTTCATCGGTCTAACAAAAACATATATACTATATTATAATAAATATTAATATGAGATGAAGAAGTTAATAATAATAATATAACGACGTAGAGCGTATTTGACACGACTTGTTTGCATCCAGATGTATCTGTATGTGTTTAAGTGCATACGTACTACGCAACTGCGTAAATAAATATATAATAATAGATATTTTTATGTAAGTTAAACTTATAAAACAAAATTTAGTTCTCAGAAAAAAATACAGAATGAATACTTGTGGCCTTTAATAAGTATGCTAGGTCGGCTGACAATACATTTACTGCTATACAGTGTTCAACAGTCTATAGTTTTCTACCATCTACTGTTAATTGTTTTCCGTTAAATAGCTGTTTACGAATTAAAACCAACGTACATTTCAAAAATACTCATTAAACTAAATAAGTGTTTCTTTGGCCGTTTTGTTTTTATTTGTTTTTAATATATCTGACCACCGCGCAACGTCTACCATCAGGACTAATCTAAAATGAACTTGAGACTATATTATTTTGCTACAAACGTCATATTTGTTATTCTTAGACACTTCTAAAAAATATAAATAATTGTTGAATGTTCAAACGTTCCGAGATCTCCCTAAAGTATGCGAGTTATAAAATCATTACAATGTAATGTAGTCTGAGGAAACGCAGCTTTGCCAACCTTATATACTCCGCATCCGTCGTGCAATTTCACCCATCTCGATCAAAAATTATTTTCACGTCGTTATTAGTTAGTGAATTTTAAAACTATTAAACATTTGTTGCTAGCGATATGCGTGGCTGATGTCGATCATTAGGTTTTTATATATTAATTGTGCCAACGCCCAACGGTGTTTAGAACGATGTGTCGACGTTGCCGTAAGCGACCGCCATATTATAGTTTATGCAAAAATACAATAAAAATACAGTACAGGGCGTACAATGGTCGATACTAAATATCGATTTCAAACGATGCTGCGCCAAAAGCTTGCCGTTCCTTTGTATACTCGTGTTCCGGTTTCCGTATTCCGCACCACGCCGTGCACACTATTACATAATATACAATTTTTTTTTTCGATTTCGTACTTCCGGTACATCGTTTAAAATGGATTTCATTTAGACATTAGTCACATATCATCAGCACACTGTTTAACAGTGGTCTGAAAAATCAGGTAGGTTGAAATTATAATCGGGTTTCCACTATACTCACAATTCTGAGTAAAATTGGATACATATTCGACTTGATGGTAACACGTTATCCACATAGGTGTGTATTGAACATTATGGGACGACGAAAAAACACACTACGGTGTAGCGTAAATCCAATTTTAGGGTTAGGATAGGCACACTTGTACGTGAGTGATATCTCCATCATTTTAAAAACGTACTATATAGTAAGTTTCTGTAAAGTAGTTCTAATTTTGTGTAGTAAATTTTAATAATATAAAGAATAATAGGCGTTAAATTATTGAAAATATAGGTAACCTACTACACAAAATTGGAACTGCTGAAACAGATTTGCTATGCTGTTAGTTAATAGAACGGAGATAACATAATAGTATGCGGGTGTGATGTCTTCTTAAAGTTAAATACAATTGGCAATAACTCTTTGTCAGTTTGTCGACAACAATATGTTTACATGGTATATTATAATAATAATTATAATATAGTGGATTAAAAACTATTGTCGACTAAATAATATTTGATTGGCAATTATTATAATATGTCTATAAGGTCTCTTTTATATGTTTGTATCTGGGACTTAAAATTGGAAATTTGACACTGCTTATTCCCGTGTAATAATTATAGCTGACACGTTAAACACTGTACATTGTACGACAGTCCACGCGGGCATCACGCTGCATAATACACGTATACATCACATTCTTAACATTATAATAATTAAAGTTTAAATATTAATGTTCGTTTTCGATAATTCGTGTGATACAGTGATAGACACATAAAAACTCAAGTACAAAGTAATAATATGTTTGGCTATAGATTTGGAAAAAGTGTTGCCACTCCTCAATGTCTAACTACCCGTTTTTATAACCTATTTTCTTGTAACTGAAATACCACATACTATAATAACCAACACTTAACAAAATACGATTATAATCTAAAAAATAACTCATTATTTCGCATTGGAATGAGTAACCGAAAAAAAAAAACAGTAAACAATGAACTAATATGTCAATAATTATTATTGTCACTAAGCTGGGAAGATAATTTTTAAATAACTACATTTTGTCAACTAATCTAGTACTTAACTTGATTGTATAATTATTTATCAAAACAATATTATTTTTTTTCTAATATAAACGCCTAGTTAAAATCAAAATGTCAACATACACTATTAAATTTTAATTTGGGCATAATTATAAGTTATAACGAAGCACAACATTATAGGATCTACGTGCAATGTTGATATAAGGTACAGTTTTATCGTTGTGGAATTACTTATTACCCATTGATGATGTCCGTTCATTAAAAGACCACGCACGTGTGACATAAAGTTGTTTGTTATTGCTGTAGAACAAGGGTCGACTATAGGCGAGCCAAATTCGGCCCGTAAAGGGAAAATAAATAACTGGACCGCAAAATATATTTTTTTTAATGCCGATTTTTTGCACATAAGATAAATTTTATCTATTTCATGAAGTATTTATAGATTATGATGGCGTACATGATCGTTTATTAATTATTACTGTTTACAATTATAGCTATAATAATTATAACACAGTAACTATTAACTAATATTTTAGTTTTTTCCTGCCCTCGAAATTTTTTTTTTCAAATCATCTAAGCCACCATAGAATTTGATTGCCGGCCCAAAAAAATGTATCATATAAAAACCAGTTCAATAATATTATTTTATATTGTCTCTGTTAGTAAGAAACATGGTCCATTAAATAATATTTATATATATTGATAACAAAAACATATTGTCGTTAACTTTTTGAACACTATTATTTTCTTACTGCATATAAGTAAATGGAAATAATGATATTGTACAAAAGTCGAACACCCGCGATGACTATGCACAACAGCTGTATATAAAATGCATTATTCATACGTAACAATCGTATTGTCGACACATGGTCTGATGATAGTTAATGTTTTCCGTTTTATTCGTTTACAGCGTGAGTGGCTGCAGAGGGATGTGGACAGAGAGAGAAGGCTGCGCTTGGACACGGAAGCGAGACTCAAGGGTTCCAGTTCTGAGGCAGACAGATGCCGTGTCAAGCTGTCGACTTTACAAAAAGACTTCACCAAGTGAGTTTTATTTTTATTTGTATTATTATTATGTTCGTTATCGCTGTCATCGTTTTGATTTTTCCCGACGATCGCCCACCTACACAATAGATACACCATGGCGTCTACGGTTCCGCGATTGTAACAGCGAAAGCCAGTACATACTTCATACTGACAATCGCTTTGACCGTTATAATACGGTACCCGTTACAACTTGTATATTAAATTCGCGTCTATGCGAACATAACAATATTATGTGAATGAATAATGTAGCGTATTGGGGCGTGTAGATAAAGGTATATTATCTATTTTTGTTATTATTGTGACCGCGCAAATGCATTTATCCATTATTCGCAACTGATCCGTAATTCTACATAATAATTAATTTCAATAGATTGACAGAAAAGAAGACAGAGATACATAATGCAAAGACGTATAATAATGTTATGTTTTTATATTGACCAATAGCTAGTCTACGCTTGTCGTTTTTACGATGACGTATATTTTATTTTAACACAATCCACGTGGACTGGTAGACTTGATTACTTCTATAATGATTATCAACGCTATATCTTTATTATAATTTATAACACAACACGTAACTATTCTGTTTAATATTGGTTTGATATCATTACATTTTTTAGGCAAATGTTAATTTTAAGTGTCAACATGTCGTACCAATATATGTATTTTATTCGTAGGTCACCAGGACGCGATAATCACATAATGGTTATGAAATATCATAGTCATTTGTCACACCGCATTGTGTACATTTTTTATTCTGTTCGGGGCCATTGTTTCCTTCCAATTTTGTTTTTCTAGTCTTCACGACATTTTGAACTTGGAAAATTACGATAGGTACCGTTTTTCTGTCACTAGTACGACTAAGCAGTTTCGTAGTTTATGCTGTACCACGTAGGCTTACCCCCTCCCTATGTATATAGTTACTTATCCAGATGTCAGTAACGAAGGTTTTCCTCCAGGATCCAAGTTTTGCGCGTATAATATACCTATATCTGTATGATATTAAAGTATCATCGTATCGCCGCCGTCACTTTATCAGGATTTAAGAAAAATCCAAAACTGCAGGATTTTAAAACGCTCACAGAGAAACGTATTTGCGTGCTTTTTATTGTGTGTGTTTGTGTGTATGTGTGTGTGTGTGTGTATAGTAAAAGAAAATTTTTTGGCGCCTGTCACTAACAATTATTGATGGTTGGGGGTGGTGCGAGAGACCCGGTTTTTCCGGCCACCGCGAATATCAACGCTCGGCTGCGGTGGTAGGCACAAAGCCAATCGCGTAACCCGTATCGGACAGCTAATAAATCGGTCTCTGTCCCGTATATATACCACAACGACCGGCTAGTTGCTTTTACAGCCTTTCGTGCCTTTTCACAGCATGCAGACGTTATAATTATCGAAGACCTTAATCCCGGAGACGAGTGGGGATGGTGTCGGGAGGCGTGAAAAACAAGCGAAAAATATATATATCTAAAAGAGATCATGTATTTAAGCCATATACTGCCATTACTACCACCACCGCCACCACTGTTTCACTTTATTTATATAATGTATAGCACTCTGCCGGGTACCAAGGACAGTGGAGCTTCTGTTGAAAATCCTTTAAACCACGGTTCTCTTTCGTATTTTATCTCTTTTATCTACCTATATAATATATTATATATATAGTCCATTTGAAAAACCTTCTGACAATTTACATATAATTATCGCTCTTCACCAACCACACTGTTGTTATCTATTTTCCGAAAGAGACCCACATACTCAAATATATACATTAAAAGTACGAAAATAAAATAAACATGAACTTTTTTAGTAGATAGTGTTAATTTAAATAATATAATACCATAGTGGTATAATAATACGATATTAAGATTTACAATTTCACCAAATATTTAATCAGAATAAAAAAAATCCAGTATTATGTATATATAAATAGATTTAAGAAGTTTCAAAAATATCGATTATTTATAATTTATATAATATCTGCATACAAATATTCAGTTGATTTTATTATGTACCTATATTATGTCCTGTGGAATAGTATTTACCAAGTACCTACATGATATAAATCGAGAATTGAATAACATAATAATAATATAATTTTTCTATTCTATAGATTATGTAAAACAAAATGATAATGTTTCTCTACAAAATGATAAACGAATATAGTTCGTGTTAACAAAATAATAGTATGTCACCCCAGCCAATGTTTAATATGAATTTATTTTTAATGAAATAAGTAATAAAAATCAAAATGCGTAGGTAACCAAATAATTGTTGTTTATTAAATTAAGAATTTTCATTTTTTACGCCTCCAAACCATAATATAATTTCATTAAAATATTTGTTTAAATTAGTTGGTTTTATATGATTGCATTTATCTAACTCCTCACAATATTTAAGAGAAACAGTTTACTAGATTCGGAACTAAATTTACTAACAATTACGTTATGTACCACCTATTTATTTTGTCGATGTTTGATAAACCAATATGCTTACTTATACATGAAAGCGCTTACCTATAGAACATTATAATTAATACTATTCTATTATTATTGATTTATAAGTTTGGCTTGATTTGTTACCAATATAAATAGTCTACGCGCGTGTTTCGAGTTACAACCGCTGTTTGGTGTATTTTATTTGCAGGACGAATGACCACAATTATGCGCGGTAAAAAATAAACAAATATGTATACAAACTACAAAATCTCAATTAAAACGATACGACCACGCTAAGCGCATAAATCGTGCGGTTTTTCACCTCTGTCGCGCGTGGTATACACATTTACGTATATTTACTTATATACCTATATGTATTATGTGGGAATGCGTATACTCGCTGTAAAATATATACAATGGACTCGTCTATGTACATGCACACAATATAAGCGTGCATATTATATATATATATATATATATGCAGGAGACCCTTACTTGCACGAAACTCGACGGAACGCGAAATTCTGAAAGTACTCCCCCGCGACTACCCATCATCATCCCACCAACGCACCTACCCTTCGTCATATATATTATAACACCCAGTCTTGAATATTAATTATGCTGGGAATTTTTTTCCTGGACTTTGCACCGAGTGTACCTATATTGTTGTGTGTGAATACCGTACTACGTGCGTGGGCGTGCAGAAAAGGTTTTCTTTCTCTTCGTGCACACGGGTCATTTATTCGTCGCAAATAGGGAGAAAACCAACTCACCGGTGTCGGACCGCCGCTGCTGCAGCTACGACGCTTATCCACCGGAAAATCGGAATTGTTTGGGTTCCTGCTGGGGTAATGGTGGTGGTAGGAGTGATGGTGTTGTGGGCGGTGGGTTTCGGAGAAGTAGGCGATCTTCGTACGCTCGCTATACCCGGCGTGTCGGATACGTATATACGTGTTTATACGTATTTATATTATTTAGGGGAAGGTGAATTATATCGAGAGACATAAAATGCAGCCCACACGCGCACAATATATATAATAAATATAAGGACCGGCGGCCGTGTCAGCGTTAAATCTCACGTCGTTAGAAAGGTGCGCGTGTGAGCGTCAATGTATATAATAAAAATAATATAATAATAATGTCACCGGGTTTGCTGTAGACGTCCCTCTGCATCCACGTCTAGTAATATATAGATATATGTTTAAAGTGAAATACCGGGCCAAAATATATTATATGCGCGTTCGAAAATAGAAAAGACCCAAAGGGACCGCGAGGTAACGACAGGCAATCCCCTCCCAAATGACTAATATATGTTTAACATCTACATAGTGCGTATAGTGTATATGTATATATATCCTATATATAGTCAGATTTGGCCACGAATTACCCCCTCCTTTTTACACTGTGTATATTACGTGTGTACGAGTGTACGTGACGCGTAAATATTATTCTTTAACGACGATGTCGTTGACGACCAAGACACTGGCGATCTATAATAACAACAGATTTTTAACGGTAAATAATAATATAACATATTATTCTCTATACACGTGTTAACAGCCGTTTAAATTTATCTATTTTCATATCACTGCGTACTCAGCTGCATTTTAGAAGTTATATCGTATCTGTTTAAAAATCTTCTACTTTATAATTATTTAATAAAATTTGGTGAAATTTTTAATATCTGTAGTTATGTTATATAATTCATGATATTTCAAGGCTGATGTTAATAAATAATTTAAATTATAAATTATAAATTTCTGTATCACAATTTGTTACAATTATTTTCCAAAGTGATTGTAATCATTGGAACAATTGGAATTTGAATTGTTGGACATATTTTATACATTATATGTTTTACACGCGTTTTTTTGTTCTGCTCCCCCTCCCCTATACTAATATCGCACACTAATGGCCTAGAGCGGATTTATATGCGTTCTATCTTCAAGTATGTTATTTTCATTTATGTTTAGTGCGTGCTTCAGTCATACGGGTCATCGTACTCGTTCACGCGTTTAGTTACACACTACATACACATACCATGTACATACATATACTTGGTGCAATATTTCTACCCCTCGGTTGCAAGTTTATCGTGGTACCTACGACGACGACGTCGTCTTCGGGATTAATTGGGCGGATTGTTATATATACGTACTCATCACGGGTAGGTCGTACATCCGTTTTCCATCAACCAACCGGTGATATAAGGATGGAATGAAGAGGGGTAAGGGTAGTCTTGATGTCGTTATTTAGGTTCGTAAGTCGTGTGTACCACGAAACACATATTATTTTATTGCTTTTTTTCACGACCGCCTCGAAGAATACGGTTTTTGAGGGATAAAAGTTTTCGGGGACGATGTATAATATGCAGGGAATCAAACGTGTATATATAGGTATATTAACCATTGTTTGCACGCGAGTGTGTGGCGTGTTTTCAATAGTGCACGTGAATCGTTAAAGAATGTATGTACATACCATACTATATATGTACAGTATAATGTAAAAGTCGTTTGTTATATCATAATATCATACCGTACGAGCGCATTTATTTTATAA